AGCTGCACCTTGGGAGTTTAAACCCAGATTTCTCCAATCTTAGTTTGTTGTGATAACCTCACACTGCCCTCATTCTTTTTCAACTGATGAACCAGGGCTCTTCAGACCCTAATTTATACAGAGGATATACGGATATACTTAACCCCACAGAACTGCAAAGGCTGTGAATATTGGCTCTAATAGTATGAGACAGAGACAATCCTCACCTCTGACATATCTGACTTCACCTGTTGCACGGGAAAGGCAAAAGGGACATAGGTTACCCCACAGATTGGTTAAATCACAGGGACAAGGACTTTCTCCATAGTTTATGGGACTTCTACAGCTTTACTCACTATTGAGCTATACCTACAAGACTGTCCTAGAGATGAAACTCAGAAGGTATTAAATAGCTATTGTCTTTTGGGTACTTTCAGAGACATGAGCACCTATGGAAATTTTGGCAGAGTCTATCAAACTTATAAGCAACACATTCTTAGAAGGAAGTCAAGGTCTGCCTTTCTGTCACAGCAGCCAGAATTTCCAGGTTTGATTACTTGAGTAAAAGCGTTATTTCTATTTTTACTTACTAGCATCAGTCTGTGTCTTCACAATAAACACTGAGCAGTATCAGGTATGTTTGTTGTCTTCTGCTTTTCTGTGGTCTACACCCATTGCTATAACAACCAGATTGCACACAAACATTTTGGAAGAAGGAAAAGAAATTCCTTTCACTAGAAAGTGTTAAATGTGGTCAGCTGCAAACCCAAGCATGACTCTTACTGCCATGCCTGAATTTTGTCTTGCAAAAGGGAAAAGAGACTATCCATATCCCACATGAAAAAGATGCTCTCCAAGATCCCACTGGATATAACACTATTGAACTTGACAATAGCCTATCCTCAAGTCTCAGCTGGCAGGAAAAAAACCAAGCAGTTACACCTAGAATAAAAAACAAAACATCAAATCCTACCCCTTAGCATAATGAGTGTCTTCAGAGATCACAAATACCAGTAACAGTTCCTCATCATTATAATCTAATGTCCTATACTTCCATTCTCACTTTTAGACACCTTAATCTCCTTTAAGAGGCAAAGTCTTACTCCTCTTCTATTCTTTACTCTTTAATTCCCTTTCTGAGGAGGTATCTGCAAACACATTTTACCTTTCAAGACTATTCCAAGTGTTCGAATTTTATACTAGCCATGCCAGTTTAATGTTTTTCCTTAACAGGCTTCTCATACGACAAAAAGGTATCTAGGTACTTTTCCCCTCACATTAAAATACATCCTAATTTTAAAATCACATCAGCTATAAAAAGAAATTGGTAACTGCTAAACATCTGAAGAGGTACAAAACAAAGGATTTCATCACTAAACACCTCCCTACTTCACTTTTTCTGAGGAATGCAGTGTAACAGCTCACTAACATCCAGACAATTAATTCTGTGTATTTTTGTTCTCTTTCGTAAAGAATTCAATTTTTTCCTAGTATAAGAACGTGCAAGAACAGATTCAGTCAAGATTTCACAAAATCAGAAGAAGAAAAAGCCATAAACACATTGCACAAAATACAGTGTGCTCTCACGGATCATAGTGCAAATACATTCTGGGCTACTTCAAGAGCACAAGTGGCTCTGTGGATGTTGTTATCCTTCTTTACCCAGTGTCTGAGACGGCTTCTAGGACCCTGCTTCCAGCTTGGTTCTCTCCTCAGCTCAACAGGCAACAAACCGGAGAGAGGCCAGAGCTACTAGGATAGTCTGTGGTCTAAAGCAAATTATCTATGAGGAGGTAATGCTTAATGTTGTTTATGACCGTGGAACCTGAGGAAGACTTTGCAGACACCTAAACTAATTCCCTGCAGAGTGCTTACAAAGAGGACTTGCTGCTTCTTATCAGCAGATTATACAACTAATGAAAAACTATAAAGCTACATCCTGCAGTTCAGAAGGTTCAAGTAGGAAACTGTGACTTTTACAGCACATTTGTTTCAAGGAAAAGACGAAAAACAACGTTTCCATGCTGAAAGGCCACAAGAACTCCTGAAATAACTAACGAATTCTGGCATTCAGTCACACAGATATGATACATTAGCAAAGACACTGTCACCTTCAGGAAAAGTTGGTTTTACACTGGTTTCTCTCCAGCCTTCTACAAACTCCTCCATTAATCTCTTTTCTAGCATTGCAGGATCTGCATCAATTATGCCACATGCTCATAATCCTACTAAGGACTGGACCCAACAGAACTAAAACTATCCTGGTTATTGAAGGTACTACTTAAACTCATTAGTAACTACAGCAATCACCAAATCCAACACAATGACTAATGTTAAACATTCCTAATTTTTTTCAAAACCTACATATTAATTTTTTATTTATGTAATTAAAGCAAGCTATCTAAAGTTTGCCCAATTTAAGCCACAGTAAAGAAGGCAAAAATGTCTGAGCAGGAAAGAGTCAGAGATGTTTTCTTCCCATGCTGCTAACAACAGAAATACAGGAGTGGAATTTACAAGATTTCATTTTTACAAAAATTTAATACTGAAACTAAAAGCTAGGTCTGAAAAAAGCATGAAAAAGACACGAAGGATAAATAAATTAAAAACAGTGAGGACCATAGTAACAAAGGATAGCAACAAGTAAGGCTGACAACAATGTTACAGAAGGTCAATCAAAATTTATCAAAAATTCTGAGAAGAATGAACTCTGATATTAGACAGTAACCACCAAAGTGACCAAAAATTCCTAACAGAAAAAACAGGGAGTAAAGAAATGACTGAGACAATTCTGAGGATTAACTCAAAAATGACTGTCACAGGTTTCAGTACTGATGACATAGGAAAAGACAAATTGATACAGAGACAATGTAAGAATATTTTTGAAGTTTAATCGTAAGTTTCTAGGATGAGCAATAGTACAAGGTCAATCATATTCCTTTGACTTCTTCCTAATTTACCTAATTTAATGGATTTTCAAAAAGACCTGACAGACCACTTAAGAACAAACTAGTGCCAAACAGCTGAGATGGAAATGCCTGTTTCAGTCAGCCCTCATGTTCTGGAACAGGTTTCATTTTAACTACAGTTAACTCCCACTTCTGATGATAACATTTCAAAATGTTATACAGAAAGCATGGGTGACAAAAACCTTCCTTTTATCATTTATGGACATGACAGTAAATGTCCTTGATGAGAACAGTACGCTGAAAGAATGAGAGAAGAAAAACAGAGAGCAGTGACAAATTTGGTGCTGCCATGAAGTTTGATGAAACCAAACTCCATAAGGAACATGTGTTTTACAAAAATTCAGGTATAACTTGTATACTATGAATATAATTTGAATTTGGCAGTGTTTTACTGATGTGCTCTTTGGGCTAATTTAAAAGCCATGTCAGATATGTCACAGACATGACTTCATGTATGAGACATGGGAAGCAAAGCACATGGGAGCATAAGTGGGAAGCAGCCATCACCATTGCACTTAGGGTCTTGTTCTTGTATTTTACACACACTGCTGTCTTCTATGGTAACAAATTGGAGAAGTAACTCACCACTGCTGCACTGAGCCTGCCTCTGATTAAGGGAAGATTCTGCTCTGCAGAAAAACTGCTGTTCTTCAGCCTGCAGGAAGAAAACAACCACCTGGAATGAAGGCCACTACGCACCCCTTCCCGCAAAAAACAAGTTCTCTCAGGTTAATGCCTCATTATCCTCCCATGCTTTCCATGAATTCCAGCCTGACTAAAAACTGTTTCAAGAAGAAAGCGGGAAACCGTTCCCTGGAATTAGGTAACAGCTATTTACTTCCAGCTCCGAGCAGGCCCTTTGCCGTGGCCAGTACCATAGGTAAAAGAGGCCTAGCTGCCTTAATGCCGGTACCGTGGCGGTCAATCCACGCCGGAGTCCCGCCGGCTCGGGCACTGCAGACGGGGGCACAGCCGGCGGAGCAGCAGCCGGAGCGAGTGCGTAGGAGCAGCGCCGCCCGCAGCGACACAGCCGCGGGGCTCCGCGCCCCGAGCGCGGTCCCGCTGGAAGCCGCCGGCGCCTTCCCCCCTCACCGCGTCCCGCCCGGCCTCCCACGAACCGGGACCAGCGCGCGCCGCCGCGGCACCACCGCCTCCCGGCGCGCGGCACTGACGTCACTGCCCCGCGACGCCCGCGCGGCCCGCGCCGCCGCCAGCTGCGGGGCGGGGCAGGGCCTCGCCTGCGTGGTGCTCGCGCCAGAACGTAACGCTGAGGATGTGTATGAGAACGTAAATTAAAAAAATTCAGACAGGATTAAAAAAAGGAATACACTTTATTGGCGTGGCAGCTGCTGGGAATGACTGCACCGGCACTGCTCCGGCCGTGAGCGGATGGGCGCTTTGCGCAGAGACGGGGTTAAAGCGCCGCGTTATCTTATCGGCAGAAACTGATGAGGGTCGCCCTGAAAAATCCAGCCTTCCCTTCCCTTCCCTTCCCTTCCCTTCCCTTCCCTTCCCTTCCCTTCCCTTCCCTTCCCTTCCCTTCCCTTCCCTTCCCTTCCCCCCTTTTTTTTCTTCCTCTCTTTTCTCTCTCTGCCCCTCTTTCATTCATCTCTCATTTTCTCTTTCCCTTTCCACCCTGCCGTTTTAATCGAAAACCCACTGCCCTGTGCTTACGGACTAGGTCGGGGTACTGGACACACCCACTTTTAGGCCGCGTGTCATTTACCAATAAACCCTGGGAAGCTTTTGTGGACCCGCTGACACTGTCCCTTGGGACTCGGGGCTGCTCCGTCCCCCGAGGGTGGGAGGCCCGAGGCCGCGCTCGTGCGGTCCGCCGGCGCGCCAGGGGGCGCTGCCCGCCGCCGGCCGCGCGCGGGGCCGCCGCCAGCTCCGGTGCCGCGCGGCACGTGCGGCCGAGCGGGGCCGAGCCGGGCCGAGCCGAGCTGAGCTGAGACGGGCCGGGCCGGGCTGAGACGGGCCGGGCCGAGCCGAGCCGAGCTGAGACGGGCCGGGCCGGGCCGAGCCGAGCTGAGACGGGCCGAGCCGGGCTGAGCCGAGCCGAGCTGAGACGGGCCGGGCCGAGCCGAGCCGAGCTGAGACGGGCCGGGCCGGGCCGAGCTGACTGCTGCCATGCCCAAGGCGCGGGCCGGGAAGCGGCCCCAGCGCCGGGAAGGCGGCGCCGGCGGTGAGTGCGGAGCGGAGCGGGCCGGCAGGATCCCGGGAGCCCGCGCCGAGCGGGGGCCTGTGGGGAGCGCGGCTGCTCACGGTAACACGCCCGTCTCTTCCCCAGGCATCCTGTTCAACACCGGGGCCGGGCAGCACATCCTGAAGAACCCTCTCGTGGTGAACAGCATCATCGATAAGGTGGGAGCCGGGCCGTGCCGCCTGCTGCGGGCGGGGTGCCTGCGTGTTGGCGCTGCTCCGGACGTGGCTGCTCGCCGGCTGTTCACGCGTGGCCAGCGAGGCGCCATAAATCGGTGCCACGGCATTCTGGTTCTCCCCGTTTCCCACTCGTTACTTTCTAAACGACTCTCACGCTCCCTTGATACCCAGTTCCAACTTATTACTGTGTCAAAAGCGCTTACTTTAATTTTAAAGTCAAATGATTGCACGAAATTGGTTCTACGGAAGCACTCAAAATGCTGTTTGTCCTTAGGCTGCCCTGCGCCGAACAGATGTCATTCTGGAAGTGGGCCCGGGAACTGGAAACCTGACAGTAAAGATGCTGGAGAAGGTCAAAAAAGTAAGTACAAATTCTCTTTCATACACCCCTTTCCCAAGCTCTGACTGTGCTTTGGCTTAGAGTATGGCAAATAGAAGGGTCTTCATAGGCATGATGAACATACGTAGAATTACTCCACTGATACTTTTCTTAACATATGAATAGTCCCGATGGGTTTTTAGCTGATCACGTAAATTTTGTGTGGTTTTGTCAAACTACAGTGCTATAATCCATTTATGTGGTAAAGCTTCCTTGTATTTGAGAGGGAGGAAGGTACATAGCCTAACATTGGAAGGATTCTTTGAACCCATAACAACAGATACAGGGCTGGGATTTTTACAATTAAATTCCAGTTAGGAGATGCATGGAGTTTTAAATATATAATTTTTTTTTAGGTTATTGCTTGTGAAATTGACCCTAGACTTGTTGGTGAGCTTCAGAAGAGAGTCCAGGGCACGTAAGTATCAATTATGGGAAACAGGAAGCACTAAAGCAGTGGTGCTGCTTTGGTACAAATTTTGGCAACAGTGCTTATCTGAGTATAACCACAATGTATCTTTTCCCCCAGGTGTCTAGCAAACAAACTTGAAATCAAGGTTGGTGACATCTTGAAAACAGATTTACCATTCTTTGATGCATGTGTCGCTAACTTGCCTTACCAGGTATGGGACAAGCAACATAGCAGGCAACACCATAAACAAAATTACTTTTAAATGCTCATTTCCCAGAAATTATACTAACATTATTAATTTTTTTTTCTCAGATTTCTTCACCTTTTGTTTTCAAGTTATTGCTTCATAGACCCTTTTTCAGGTATGTGGAAGAATAGAGCTCTGTGTTACCTGAGAGGAAAGAAAATAGTTTTAAAAATGTTTTCAAATCCAGTATTTTTTTAGTTCCTGAGGTACCAGTGTGATGGACCAGAGCTGTACCAATTTTTTTCTGTAATACATAGTCTAACAGTGCCTGGAAATTAAGTTTATGTTGATATATTGAGCATGAGGAGAAAATTTAAAGTTGGCAACAGTGAGTGCCCAGCAGATAAAAACAGGAGTTACATCTCCTTAGTATTACAACTAAGTATTATTCCAAGGATAAGCAGGGCATAATAGCATTTCAAATACCTTCCTGGCTAAGGGTGAAAGGGTAGAATCAATGCCAAATCACTTTCTTGTTGTCTGATGTAAAAATGTAACCATCTTGTCTGTGTGTCAGACATCAGTATGTCAGCAGCTCTTGATTTCTCTCAGAGGAACATTGGTAACATTACCGGTCAGTTTTTGGAAAGCTTGGGTTTGAAGGACTCAGCAGAGAGTTACTCAAAATTATTTATTACAGTCAGGCAACTCTGAGACTAGATAGTCTCTTTGATCCTGATCCATCTAGCAGTAAATAATCAAATTATGTAACAGCTTTAAGGAGACTTGGATGGCTTCACCAAGTTTTGTGATGGGTTTTGGGTTTTTTTTCAACATGCTAATCAAGGCAAAGTTGTTTATTACGAACATTTACTCTTCTAATTGCTGAGGCAAACTGTATGTTTTCCAAGTGTGTTCATTTGGCTTCTGACATAAAAATGGAACACTTAGAATTGATTTTCTCATTTCTGTTACTCTCAGGTGTGCAATCCTTATGTTTCAAAGGGAATTTGCACTTCGTTTGGTTGCAAAACCAGGAAGCAAACTGTACTGCAGACTCTCTATTAATACTCAGTTATTAGCTCGAGTGGACCATCTGATGAAGGTAGGTCACTGCCTTTAGGTAACTCAGCTATGAAACACAGAAGAGTGTTGCAAGGGATGTGAGGAGTTTGCTGCTTATTCACACAGCTGCTTGACTGCTCTTAACTAACAGGTTGGAAAGAACAACTTCAAGCCTCCTCCCAAAGTCGAATCCAGTGTTGTCAGAATAGAGCCAAAGAACCCACCACCACCTATCAACTTCCAGGTGAGCAGTGTATACTCAACGTAACGTTAGTGATAATTTCATATTTCTTCCCAGTTACTATTCAGTTCTATGTGCTGATTCTAGTACAAACTACCAGCTATTTATTCATTGGAGCTTCCAAAATGGCTTTTTCTCTCTTGATCAGGCTTGTTAGACCATTAACACAACATGCCACCACCAGCTGGGGGCAGCTTTGTCAAGTACAGTATCTCTTATAAGACTAAGATCAGCTGGAGAACTGCTAGTAGTAATGTCCCTTTGGTCATGGTTTATGGCTCCCAGAGATGTTTCTGGCTGATAATTTTGCAGGTTTTGATCAGAGAAATATATGAGATTTATCTTCAGGTGAGTGTGTTTAATCACCGAAGACAAATGTTACAGAAGAGTATTCTTAATTCTTAAAACACTTCAAGACCATTTCAGCCTTGCCCAAGGTTAGCCAGATTTTCTTCGTGTCTGCCTTCTCTGCATGTAATAGCACTTTAGGCATGAAAAAGAACAATTCAAAGGATTTTGGGGGTGAAGTATTTTCTCCTCCTTTTGTATTTCTTTGTCTAAGAGAACTGGTTTTGTGTTGTTTAGAAGGACATTTCCATGAAGGATATTCCTTTTGTTCAGTATTGTTATGAAGATGTCAGTAGTGACTGTTCTTGTTTGTAGTAGCTGTATGTTGCTTTCTAAAATTCTGAAATTTTCGATTCCAGGAGTGGGATGGTCTGGTAAGGATAGCCTTTGTTAGGAAAAACAAGACACTCTCTGCAGCATTTAAGTAAGTAACTTCTATCGGAGGACCAGTTAATGATTTCTTTTGTGCAAATGCATAGCAGTGTTACATAGTCAGTGATAAACCATGGTGGAAGATTAATACTGATGTCAGAAGCTTTTTCTTTTAGAAGAAAACTAGGCAGCTTTTTAAGAAGAACAATTTTGTGTAATTGTTGCAGTTTTTTATAGTAGACATTTACAACCAATTAAGTGGACGAACATTACAGTTAAGTTTTTATGCTAAATATGTATTTCTTTCAGATCAAGTGCTGTAGAGCAGTTGCTGGATCATAATTACCGAGTTCATTGTTCCTTACATAATATGGTAAGTTCCTTCTTAATCTAGTCTATTTCTGTGTACTGTGACCTACATACTAACTTCTATGAGTAAAAAATTAACATTGAAAAGCTTAACGTATCAAAGGTTTTCCAGAAGAGTTTGAAGGTGGGAGGAACTTTCCTCTTTTCTTAAAGAAAAATCTAAAAGGGTAATTAAATCATAGTAAAAAAGCTTAAAATCAAGTCTATTTTGACAGTATAGTCCACATTATGTATGTCTCGAGGTCTTTTACTAATTTAATAAAACATGTCTTGTCTACTTTTAAAAACAGATATGATTCATATATAATGAGTGAACTGAGATACAAAAATAGAAGAAGTATAACTTAATTTTTTCACTTGAAACAAGAACTGTTCTAAGAGCAGGAAATAATTAGATTATTTAAATGAACCTTTTTCTGTGTTTTGAGTAGAAAATAACTTCTGTCCCATTTTTCATTGACAGGAAATCCCTGAAAACTTCAAAATTGCAGAGAAAATACAGACAGTTCTAAAAGATACAGGTTACTCTGAAAAACGAGCCCGTTCAATGGATATAGATGATTTCATTCGGTACTCTTTTTTTTTTTTATGTTTATGTCTTCCTTTTAAGCTTCTTTAAATTCTGTCTGCATCTGTAGCTGCATAGCACAGATTACTAGTGGATTGCACAGGAATATTAGGGTTTCCCCCTTAGTACCAGACACTCCGTGCTTCCAGTCCTGAACATGAACAAACACTTAAGGCCTAGTTATATATTTTAAATGCTGTTTATAATATTCAGAGCCAACTAGCTAAGGATCCCTATTTCAGGTGTTTGTATACTAGACCCTTCTTTAAACCTCCTTTAAAAATGGCCATTGTGTAAATTGGTTATTAAAACTTCTCTAGTCTTACACAGCCTTTCTCTGCCTTGAGGATTAGGCCATTGTCTGTAGCATAATTTTAAATATGAATGATTAACTGCTATATTCTGCTCTTACTTTCGGTGGCATTATGAATCTTACTCAATTCAAGATAGAAATTCCTAGCTGTTTTTCATTTGGAGAACTAAGGTCATGCTCTGAAAAAACAGTGAACCTGGAAGGATCCAACGTAAGTAACTGTATCAAAAATAAACCTGCATCTCTAAAATTACAAATTTGCTAATAACTTCTAGTTTCAGTTTTGTTAAAATTCTTTCTTTGCAGTTGATCAGTGATGACTGCTTTCATGCTATTTTCTTTGCACATCTTAAAAATGCCTCAAGCTGAAGTTTATATTGCTAGAATTGTGATATACATATTTTAATCTTTCAGATTGCTACATGGCTTCAATTCAGAAGGCATCCATTTTTCATAGCTACTCCTAGAAGAATGGAAGATGCTGTATTTTTTCACCAAAGTTTTGCCCAAGACAGAGTGAGTGCAGTGGGACAAGGTCCTCATAAAAGCAACAAACAGAATATGGCACATATGCTTGGACTCAAAATAAAATGTTAGATATAATTTTATTGCAGATGGTAGGCAAGAAACTGCTGCTTGGTATTTTAAAAGCATCAAATTGTTTCAGAGCTGAAGTGAGGAGCTGGACTGCCTCATGACTGTACTATCCTCTATGTATCCAAAACATGGATTGATGATCATTGAAATATATGGTCTCCAATGATGGACTTCACCTCAGTATATTCATGCACAATACTCAACAATACAACCCATAATGGGTCTGGACAACAAAAAGAAAGTCGTAGTAATTCCTTTTTTTGGTATCAATCATTTGTGTGTTTGTTTTGAAGTGTATTTAAACACTTCCTTTTGATTTGAAGTGTCTTTTACTCTTGTCACTCTGGTAACTACCAGCACTCCAAGCCTGTTAGTAATCTGCTTCTGTTAGAGAATTCCAATGAGTGTTTCTCAGAAAACAAAAGAATTTATCTTGTGGGCTTGATGTCATTTAAAGAATTGCCTTTACCCTCTCCTTCACAGTAGGAACTGGAAAAAAAAAACTACCAGTGGGCCAGGGCTCATAAACACAGACAGCGGGGTTGGGTTTTTTGTTAACTAAATTCAAGTAGCTATTTTTTAAGGTACCTATTTCACTGTTAATGCTGGAAAAAGTTTTAGCACAGATCATAGCTTTCAGTGAGATTAGAGCAATGCATGCAAATAAGCAAAACCTCCTTTAAGAAAAACACATTATTTAATCATTAAGGTTGGAAAAGGTGTCCTGAGTCCCAACTAGCAGCTTCATTGACATCCCATCAGTTTTTAAAAAGTAATTGATTCAGAAGCATGTATAGAAATAGGCACTCAGATTTACAGACATGCTGAAGCATTGACTTTAAAAACTGACTTGCACATTTATTTCACAGTTTAATAATTCGTTAATTCTAGTGCTGCTTCACTTCATGCAGAATCAAATGATGATTTAAGTAGATTCCCAAAAAGAATATGGTTGGACTAATACAGAAGGAACAAGTGCTGAAGATACGTGTCACACTTCCTTGATGCTTTTGTTTTGCTGGAGAGGAATAGAGGATCAGCTTGTTTGAATCCTGTTAAAATAATTTTAGTCTATTATGGCAATGGGCTGCAGAAATTCAAGTTCCACAACCAGCCTTATCAATTTTTCTTTATTCTGACTGCTTCAGTATCAGGTGCAGATCTCACTTATAGCAGGCTCTGGCACAAAGGCTGGCAGTAGACACAGTTTCAGCTAGCATGTGCTACTTGACAGGACACATTTAATTTACAGGGCTTTGTAAAAAGGTGCTGAAAGCTGACTCCTTTCTGTCCTTTTGGGACCCATAATAAGGTACAGCCTGGTTGTGGTGCTAGGCTTGCATGGACAGATAGTATGGAAGCCACTGTTACTCCTGTGGGATGCCTCAGTTTTCAGAAGCTTTTCAGAAAGTAAGAATTGTCTAGAGCAGCTTCTGAGAAAACCTGTACTATCACCTGCTAACAGAAGCTATTGCCTTCTGTTCCATTGGTTTTTTTCTTTTAGCTCTGATGAGTGATCTTCAAAAAATGTTCAGAAAGGGGTGTGATTTTTTTTAAGATCTGCTGCAAAACTAAAGACAGAAGAGTGGTCTGGGGAACTTCCTTCTATATAATGAACTTGTATAGAAGAGTTGGCTTTATTCCAAAATCAGAGGCCTTTTGAAAAATGTAACTGATGTACTTAAAAATTGAAGCCCTTCCCAAAGCATAACAGAAATTCTCAGATGTACTTCATTTAATAGCTTAATTTATTAAACACATTATGTAAAATCTACATTGTTTCAGTTTTCATGTTTACACACAAGAGGATTTTTTATTTTTAACCATTATGCGACAAGAGCTTCCCATAGCCTACCTGTCTATGGGAGATACAAACATTAAACACTACAAGAAGTTCTGGCTCATTTAACTGTCTTTTCATTGCCTTCCCTTTATATCCCCCCCGCCAGCCTGCACAAACAAACAAGCTTGTATTCCAAAAGTAGTTTTTAAACATTTCCAAGGGATAGTCTGCTGATACAAACTCCTGGAAAGAGGGAGAACTAGAGAGATCTACAGTTCTTACATGAAAGGTCAATCTTTTTTGCATACTGACTTCCAAAAATATATCGAGTGCCACCATCTAAAAAGTGCTGATACACATGGCGCCATTTGTGAGAATTCAGGTATTTGTGGGATTTCTATTAGCACTAGGTAGAGGTATTGTGCAAAATCGTCAAATGATGCAATTTCACCCCACTTTTCAGCTGCTGGCACTGTACAAAGGGAAAAATAGGTATTAGCTACTTCTTAAAGCAACAGAACTACTCAAGCTACCTGCAAACTACGGTTAATGTACATGTAACTTTATCATGCATCAAAATCCAAGTTTTTAAAACAGCATGTGAAAGGCCAGTATGGACATGTTTATCCCCAAATTTTGATAGTTAATTTATCCATACATAGCATTATCACACCATACCACATATCATATTGTCTGCATTATCCTAAGATACAACTCTCCTCAGTACATAAAACATTAGCCTTTAATATACATCAACTAATTTATATTTTTGTGGATTTTTGTTGATTTGTTGTTTTTTTTTGGTTTTTTTTTAATTGTAACAGATAAGATGTTAAAATTATATAACTGTTCTTAATGGTATTCAAATAAATCAAGATTCCAGATTTTCACATGAAAAATGGAATGTCCAGCTGTTCATCCACTCTTAACAGCCTGCGGTTCCTCTTAAAATGATATGGCACATCCTGTGAAATGAAACTATCCACCAAAAAATAAGTCTTCTTGAAACACACACACACTAAAGTAATTTATATTGACAAATAAGGAATGTATTTTTTAAGGCTGTGCTTCAGAAGAAGGAGGATATTTAGGGTTAAGTAGCCTTCATCAAGGCACAGATGGGAAGAGTTAAGCACAGCTGTTTGTGGAAGAGAAGTTATGTAAAACCAGTAGTGAGGTGTGCATGCACGCCACAGTTTTAAACTGCACAGCTGGTCTCAGTCATAAAACTGAACATGGTCAGAAGGAAGTGCTGTGACTTTTTAATGGCCACAGTTTTACTTTATTAAAAATATGGCAAGTATTTCCAAACATTTCACTATTTGAACAAATGAAGTATTTTAAACAAAATGCTTCACAGATCTGAACCCTGCAGGTTGTGCTGTCTGGTCTAGAAGCATTTTGTAGACATCAGGACCACTTCACATAAAACTGAAAATGTCATTCAGGTGAATAAGAAATAGGAGATTTCCACAAACATTTCTAACATTTTGATTCTTTCAAGTAGTTGAGTTCTCTCGGTCACTAGGTTTTGTAACAAGTGTGTGCTACAGCAGTACAGGTTCATTAATTCCTTTAGCAGCAGAGGCCCTTTTCAAAGGGCACGTGGTCTTTTCGGGTTGATCTGTTTACTGGCCTGTTCCTCTTCTTGTAGAGCTGCCCGGAAAGATTTCACTTTGTCTTTAAGGAAAAAACAGAAGAATGAGTACTGATGCTCCTGTGCTCAACAGATCTTGAAACTAAGCGCTGATCCTCCACCTCCCAGCCCTAACAAATAACAAAGAACATTCCTCCACAAAAATAGCTGACGCTACAAGGGGATTGAGCTAAACTTGGGTTCAAAACCATCCAAACAAGTTGCTTAGCAACTTAGCGTCTTCTTGGATACTACCCGTCTCTAGGCAGGACAGGTTTTTAAACTGCACAATTGTATTCCCAGCATGTGAACTGTTCACGCTTCCATTCTTGTTCTATCTTAGGGAGTCTAGGGAGATATACAATACCTATATCCTATTCCTTCCCAGCACCTTCCAAACCACTTTTAGGGACATAAAAGCCATATTTAGAGTACAGTCTGCCATTTCTAGTACATTCTAAAACCCAGAATAGTAAATTCTAGTCCCCTGTTTTCTTACGAATGTGCAAAACATCTGTGAATAAGTTTTGGAACTTACTCATTGTAAATAGTTAAATATATTGTTCACTGGTTTCATTGTAACTCAGTAAGAATGGGAGAAACCTAAAGAAGGAAGTGTGGCATCCTTGTTTTTCTGCTCCTATCCCTTCTGTGCTCAGTAATATGCCCAAGAATGAGGAAACTAAAATGATGGCAAAAATATGTCAGTTGCACAGCGACAGAAGTAAAGGCTGAACAATTCAATGACCATTACATGCCATGAGCACAACATAGATGATACCAAGACAGCATTTTTGACTTTATACATGTAACCTCCTGTAAAACTACAGTTATATTAAGCTGGCTGTAAAGATGTGAGATCTCCTAGCATTTTACCTCCAGGAGCTTTTTCAAAAACAGTATCTGCTAAGTTTCTGAAGAATAGGTAGTCACCTAAACTGCATTTTTTTATTGCTGGTGTCTCAAATTGTCATCTTCTGAAGAAAAAGCCATCATCCATAAAAAACAAAAGGAAACTCCAAATCCTAGCAAAAGTGTAATTGGCATGCTCAAGAGGCAAGCAGGCCACATCTGATCTGCTTGTTGTATTCCAAACAGATACTCAGACTGAGTAAAAAGTGAGATTTTAACTCACAGGTTTTTAACATGTATCAAGAAAACTGTTCCATCATCCTCCCAACCCACCCTTGAGCTTTTGTCAGTATAGCAGTATATATCCCAGAGTTGAAACAGTTAACAAAAAATGAAAAGGAAAATTAATCTCTGGGATATAACCAACTGACAAGTGGAAGACTTAATTTTGGGCACTAAGAATTAGCTGCAGTTTGTTTTTCAACAAACATAGGCTGTGAAAGAAAAAATTAAACTAATAGCTAAAATACTCAGAGCCTAATGGTACTCTTAAGCACAGTCTTAAAAATGATAGCAGGCTCCCTGCTACACTACAGAACAGCAGTACTTTTTCCTCATTGCATGGCCTTCTATTTTTTTTCATATAGTTGGTTTGGATTTTCTTACCTTCCTTTAGTGTTTTGGAAAAAAGAAAAGTTGCAAGACTGAGTTTGTACGTCCTGGAGTTAAAGCAAGGACTCCTCCTTTATCTTAGGATTAACAGATCATAGATATGAACTTGTTCTTAGACTGCAGAATAAATGTTCCTTCCATTGAGGGCCAGCATAAGCAGGGAAAAAAGACCCTAGAATACAGCCACTTTCTTTTTTTCCTTGTTTTTACTGCAAGTCTCTATAGCATATGCTAATAATGTACAAAGAAATTATTAAAAGCAACTTACCTCTAAGTTCAGCCAGAACATCAATTTTTTGATCTAGAACTGCTTCAAGTTGGGTAGCGTAAGAATCCACATCATAGTCCACTTCTTCTGTCATCTCAAGAAGTACTTTTTCAACTTCCAACCATCTAATGGATTCCTAGAAAAAAGTTTAAAAATACAACAAATTACATCAGCAAAGTGTAAAGACAAATAGCTGATTAAGACTCTTTTGCAGAGTGACCAGACAC